CTATAAGCTGTTTGAATGGCTCTGCTGTCCCAACTTGAGGTTTCCATATTCACTGACTCAGCATAATAATAACACTTTTCATGTCAGTTCACATTTCATTGGCAAGAATTAGTCACATGGCCCCCTAACTGCAGGGGACAGAAAATGTGGTCATATACTAGGAAGAACTATAACACAGGGTTTGGTGAGCCATGGCATTGCACTGTCTCCGTGTTGAATAAAAAGTGTTATATTTTATAGGTTAATAGTATAACAATCTCTTTCCTACTTACAAATTCTTCAAAACATTTTTAGAATAATTACAGCTTAGAAAAAAGTCTTAGTATTTGATGAACTAAATCTTTTGCTACGTGGGAAGTTGACTTACGTAAAATGGCTCAGTCTCCAACCAGCAGAGGCCTTATTGTCAGAATAGTATCATTGCTGGGACAGAAAGAACAGAGTTAAGTATTTCTATTACACAGCTTTCCTTCTTGGGCCAGTCTGAGGTTCCCATCAACGTCACTCTCAAATCTTCCAGTTTCCATGCTGTCTTTCCTATGACCCATGGTAGCTATATTTTTTATTTTGTTTTTAATTAGAATAAAGTACAACCAAAAGACAAGTTAGCAAAAATCCTGGACCACTGAGCACCCTGCACTAAATATATTCCATGTAACATTCTGCTAACATCATCCCCTAAAAGAAAAAAAAAGTCACAGGGCCTTTGCTCATGCTGTTCGTTCTACTTGCGATGTTTTCGTTCTGTCTTTGCCAAGTTAAATGCTATTCATCTTTTGAATTTGTTGTATGAGGATACCCTGATACACTGGTAGTCTAAGTATAGTTTATCCAAGCCTTCCTTGGAGTCATGAAACAGAATTGCTCATGATAAGATGCTCAAATAGCATGGTTTATTAAATAAATTGAAAGTATCAGTGGGAAGCAAAGGGAAAGAGATGGGACAGGTTAACACAACTGCATTCTAGGTTACACATGCCCATGTTCTCTTTCTCTCTCTCCCTTCCTCCTTCTTGTATTATCTTTCCCACCGATGAAGGGGTTACAAGGACCAGAACTGAGGCTGAGCAAAGGGCCTCAGCAGACACCGTGTGTGCTCTCTCTGTCAGGGAGCAGAGGTGGGAACAGCTGGCCCCAGCTGTCCAGCTGTAGCTCCTTCGTTGAGGAGCTAATGGTGTTCTTCTCTCTGGTGAGCTCCCTTATTTCTTCTCAGCTCTGGTCCCAGTAATTCCAACTATCAAAAAATCGGAGTAAAATTTTTAATCTAATTTTGTAAGAAAAAAAAAAATCAAAGGAAGGAATTATTACAATTCTGTCTTTAACCTTTTCACCATGTGATACATTCAAATTCCTGTTTAAGTCCCCAGCATCCATGGGAAGTTCCTACTTCATCCTTCCCAAGTGCCTGTGGAATGGAAATGTGTTTGCTTGTGTGTTTAATTTGCATAGGCAAGCTTAGCCGATACTTTTGTGTTCACATATTTAACTCACATAATCCATACCAGAAACTAACAAAATATTATAAAGCAAGTGTTTTCCAATTGTTCTTTCCTGTCGTGGATTGAGGGCAGGTTCCCTGGGTCTGGGTCTGTACCTCTCCAGCTGCTCTGCTCCTATCAGGCCATCGGCTCCAGGAGTGGGTGCCATTGCCACTCTGCGGAGGGCACCCGGCCCTGGGGCTGCAGACAGGAGGGTGGGGCCATCCCAAGAACTAGTTCCTTATCAGGAGGATACAGAGTCCTGAAAATCCCCCCACCCCCAGAGCCTGTGTTTCCTCTTGGATCTCTGAGCATCTTTTGATCTTGAAACTAATCCATTTTTCCTCTCTCTCTTCCTATTTCCCCTCTCTTTCCCCTCCCGTCTCAACCAATTTAGGGAAATAAGAGCCTACGTGGAAGATAAGTTCCCACAAGTACCCGCTACGTTAACTCTTTCCTTGCAGGAAAACTCAGCTGAGTTGTAATTAACTAGAGCATCTAGTATGTATCAAGAGGGTTGCCTAATGACAGGCGATGTTCTTTTGACTACATTTTTTATTGACATGTTCATTTCTCTATTTATTTCCAAAAAGACCTAGAAGAGTCTTCTGGTTCCTACATAACATCACACACGGTAAATGCTCATTAAATGTATCATCTAATTGGCGTGATTTCAGAAGATTAAATCGATAGCTCTCTGCTCAAGGGCCAGAGGACCCTGTCACTCAGTAGATTCTCAGTGACAAGCTGGAGGGCTGGGGATTGTGAAGCTGATGTGCAGGCATTGAGTCTGGGTCCAGAAACCTGACCCAGAGGGTTTGACTCTCTGCTTACCTGCTCCATGGGCCCTAAGCAGACCTTTCTCCCCTCTTGGCCTCATGATCCTGTGCACTAAAATACTCTACCGTCTGTCTTCCTTATAAGGTTGCTGCGGGATCAGATGAGAGTGGGTGAAAGAGCTTTTATACTGACTGCGAAGAGTTTCCCTAAACAGGGCCTTTGTCATGGACTCAGGTCCAGCTTGGAGGCTGTCTCAGGCTGACAGGCTGACCCTCGCCCTGTTCACTCTCGCTCTTGTAGACATCTGGCAGCTTCCCGCGGGCTGTCTGTGCCCAGCCAGCCTCAGTGACAGTGAGGATGGGTTGGTTCCGACCTGCTGCAGCATCAGGCCCAGCTCTGAATTACCTAATCCCAGCTAAGAGCATTTCTGATTGCTTGACCGCTGACCTCCTGCAGCTGGATTATCAGATGTGGCTTTGGGGAATAGGCTTGTTTATAATGCCAGAGACAAAGGGAGGAAACGCAGAGCAGTTAAAACAACAGTCCTTCCTGTTGCCCCAGCGCCTTTCATCCAAGGAGGTCATTATGAAGCAGGCTCCTAGGGCTGGCGGGACCCTGAGATGCCATTCGAGGAGGAAGGGGAAGAAGGAAGGCACTGACTGCAGGAAGGTGCAGGTAATCCCCACCACAACCTGCAGGGCAGGTGTTGATGTCTCTACTTTATGCAGGAGTGGTGACCAGGCTTAGACAGGGTCATTCATGAGTCCAAGTTCAATTCTTTGCAGCTGCTTAAGGGTAGCACTTGAGCTTTGAGGGGGAATGGCTGACTCCGAACCTGTTTCTCCTCTCTTTGCCATCTTCATGCTGGGCAAAGCAAGCTTTCACCTCCCCATATGCCCCAAGCACCCTCTCCAATGCCCAGACATGAGGTGCCCTGGGGTCTTTGTTACAGACTCAGAAAGGGTGAACATTGGAAAAACCCATAAACATCACTAAGTCCAAATAACTAATTTTACAGATGAAGAAAGAGGCCCAGAGAGGTAAAGCAACTCATCCACACTCACACAGCACTCCATGCTGCACCTGGCAGAAGGCAGGTCATCCACAGAGAGCTGCTGAATAAATTATGGAATTAGTGGCAGAGCTGGATGTAAGCTGAAGCCCCCATTCCCCAGGCTAGTCTCTCAGCCTGTGTCAGCCCCTTCAGTGGGGAGGGTTTTGTCCACAGGTCAATGGGGGCTATTCTTATGCCTGCTGCCTCTAAGCATTCTGCTGACTGACCTCAGCTGATCTTGAGTCCCCACTATTCATGTTCTTAGAGTAACTAATATGTATTTTTAAGTATCTCCAAACTTACTGAAAAGTTGTAAGAACAGAACAAAGAACTCCTACCTCCTCCATCATCTCTTCACGCACCCCATCACCCTCACCCCCCCCCCATCCCCGCTTCCTTGACCAGCAGCTCTGTAGAGGGAGGGGATGGGGAGAGAAGAGCGAAGGAGATGAAATGCCAGTAGATTTGTTTAAATCCAAGGGTTTTCCTTTGCTCTGTTTCATAGTTGCCTAGAGAGTAGGACATTAAAGAACTCTGTCCTGAGAAGTCTTCTTTCTTGTAAATGCCCAGGACTTAGTAGGTTTCAGAAGGCCATTGTGGAATGAATTGATCTCATATAATAACACACGTTTTATTAGTTATGGTCTCTTAAGACACTCAAGAAGGAATAGAAGGTTAAAGAAGCATTGGTTCTCTAGGGCTGGGTTGGGATGACAAGGCATGGAAGGGTGAAAAAGCTCAGAGGTTAATTTGGGAGGTTGGTGGATACCTAGAAGGTGGTCCTCTCAGAGGAGGTGATGATATCACAGGCTACTGAAGCTCAAAGATCACTTGGAAAGCACCTGGGCCTTCATCTCTTCCCCCACTGTTCCCAGTGAGATGAGGTGACTTCCTCAAGACAAGCATTGGTTCATGGCGGAATTAGGATGAAGAGCTAGTCTTCTGACCCCTAAACTTTTGCTTGTGCCCCTCACCCCTAGTTCAACTGTTCAGTGCATTTATTATTATTGACCCATGATAATGTAGCAAAGAGGAGACAAAACATTCACAAACTATACACACTTTCACCCAGGCATGGCAGGAAAAAAGTGGCTAAGAAGGCTCAACACTACCTAGGGCCTGGGTAGATGCATTCCTGCAGGAGGTGGGCCCCTAATTCCTGGTGAGAAAGATCCCAAGGAAACTGGAGAGGCCGTGCCTATTGGTGTCTCTTGAGGAGGGAAAATCCCAATTAACATTGGTGAGCTCATACCAGATGGAAGAACAGATGGAAGGATCATAATGCCTAGAGGTAGATTTGCTCTGCCCACAGATGGGGTGGGGTCCTTGGCCTGGTGGGTTCTGTGTAGGGCTCCAGTAATGGTGGAGCAACTATGCCTGTAGATTTCATTCTTGTTGGGCTGTCCACTGAGTCCTTGGATGGCCTCCTAATCCAGCAAGAGCCCAGAAATCTGATACTCTTCTGCCAGCTTCCCTGCCAAACCTAGAGCCTCCTTCAGCTCCAGCAAGTGGTATTTGAGCAATACCAGTAACTTTTGGGTGTCCCTGGAAAGTCATGGAAACCAATTTTCCCTATGAAGCAACACCAGACCCAACACCCACCTTCTATACTGTGAATGTTTTGCTTTCTTTGATTTGATCTTCCTCAAGAAGTCATAATCACAGAGGATCAGTTCATATGCTTGCAGAAGCCTCAAAGATGCCAGTGAAGATGGGGTCGTCCTAGAGGGTGCATCTTGTCCTGTGGTCCATGTGCTGAGCCTCTTGCTGCTCTTGCCCACAGCCATGGTTGCTGCTCCTTCTTGGATCCTGGGAGAGCATCTATTCTGAACTGTTTGCGGACGAGAGGGAGGATACATGTGCTTGAGCTCATGTAGGAGGTGAGTGAGTGGGGCTGTGTCAGAGAGGAGCTGAGGGTACCTGCTCCCCTCAGCAGGTGCCTCCGTCACTTCTTTTGTTTCTCAGAGAGCTGTGGTGTGGTTCAGCCTGACGTTCTTGAGCCATGTCTGCTCTGCTTTAGGAGCCGGAGGATCCTCAAGCCTGAAGTTGGGGAGCTGGGTGAATTTGGGAGCCTGGTCAGCCCTCAGCTACCCTTCTTCACTGGCAAAGAGAGAGGGTAGGGTTTTTAGAGTCATGAATCTTGGGTTGCCCTCACTCTTATTAATCAGTTTTTTTTTCCCCACCTGCAAAAGTGTAGAGAGGGTGGAAAAGGATATTAGTTCTTATATCCTTCTTGGAACTATGTGGGGATTATTTATAATAAGAAAAAAATGCCTATAACAGTGACCCACCATGCATTAGCGGTTACTATATGATTTGATAGAGGTCTGCAGAAGTTTCAGGGTAACTTGGGTCACAGACTGCAGGTTTGGGGCCCTCCTGGTGCTGTGGGGTTGACATCAGAATCAAGAAGGATAAAAAAGATGGCATTTTACTTCTCTCCCAGGATGGTGGGCAACTCTGGGTAGGCTTTTGACTCTCTAGTGCCTCCCCACGGCCTGGCACACAGTAAGGTCATGGAGAATGTTTATGGAGCTGAAATGCACTTAAAGTTTCAGTGCTGTTACTAGTGCTCCTGCCCAGGGTTTCCTTGGGCTGGAAGCAGATCTCATTTGGGGGGTTTGGCTTGTTAAATCTCTGCCTGCCTCTCCAGGTTTATTCTTAGTCCTTTGACCTAGGAGTTTAACCTCTATGGATTGCCTCACAGTCTCCCTTGCCCTCTGGTTTCTCACTGGGTTTGCTGATGGGAGGCACCAGCTGGAGATCAGAGCGCAAGAGGATAGGGAGGGTGGGGTGTGCATTTTCCCCCACCCCTGCCAGGCCATCACTTTGGCAGTGTCTGCGTTCCTCTGCTCAAGGTCACTGGGTGGCTGTTCTGTAGTGTCAGCTCTCACTGGCCCAGCAATGCTGTTTCCCCTCCTGCCCCTCCAGGCTCAGCGGAGTAGCAGCTTCCCACTGCTGCTCTCTCCTAGGCACATCACTGTTCCCTGTGGGCATTCTACCCATGTTTCTCCTCCAAACTCTCTTCAGATAACCTTTTGGCTGTGCCCTGTGTTTCCCTCCCACACTGACTGACATGGGCAGATGCTATCAGATGCTGACCCTCACTCTCAGAGTGACTCCTGGGGTTTGGTGGCTCCAGGCTCTGAACTTCTGTGAGGGTAGTGGCTGAGGTACCACTATTGTATAGCAGAGTCTCAACCTAGGGAGGAGTGATTAGAAACTGATGACTGATAGGTAGGCTGAGCCATCTCACAGGATAGGTAGGTCATTTTTGGCTCCAAATAGCATCAGATCATGAAAGGGTCCTCAAATGCTTTTAAATCCTAACATGGACCTCATTGACCCCATATAAGCTCAGCCTTGGACTGAGAATCAAATGTCCATTCTTTCCAATGAGTGTTCATTCATTGACTATTCAGGCACTCAACAAACATTCCCTGAGCACCTACTACTATATGCTGTCACTGTGCTATGCACTGGGGACCCCAAAATAAATTGTCTAACTTTATCCTAGTATAGTAGGAGAAACAAGCTATGTATGAACATGGCAAATATACAGTCACCATGAGAATGAGACAGAAAAAGATATGGTAGTGTAAGAATTTGGGGGAGAAGGAGGACATCAGGATGAGATAGAGATCCCTTCCCTTGAATTTTAGGTGGACACAACCACATAAATCAATAACATTGTATCATATAGCCAAGAGCTGATTGTTTACCGAGTAACTAAACCAAAAGGGAGACTTAATCTTTATTGCTGTCCTACTGTCCAGGTACTTCATCAACATCATCTCAAACCTCCTGGTAAAGACTGTTCTCCCCACTGTGCCCAGCAAGCTCCAGACTGCAGGTATGTCTCTCTACAGTCTCTTCTACATCCACACACTACCGACAGACTGCTTCTACCTATTTCCCAGGGGAGAAAAGGTTGAAGAGAATGTTCCGTCTCCAACCCAATGAAGGGTCAAAGAGTAGAGTGCTAGCCAGTTGTAACCAAACCTCAACATAGATTTCCTACCATGGTTGCACCCTGAGGTCGCCCCAGGTTGTTTTATAGAATTTGTTAGAATCAGGGTGCGATGGTTAATTTTACTTGTCAACTTGACTGGGCTAAAGGTTGCTCAGGTAGCTGGTGATACATTACTTCTGAAGTGTCTGTGAGGCTGTTTTCTGAGATTAGCATTTGAGTCAGTAAACTGAGTAAATATAGAAGATTGCTTTCACCAATACAGGTGGGCATCACTCAGTCCATTGAGGACCCAAACAGAACAAAAAGATAGAGGAAGGGGAAATTCTCTCTGTGTCTGAGCTGCGTCCTCCATCTGTTTCTGTCCCCCGACATCAGTGCGCCTGTTCTTGGACCTTCAGACCGGTAGGACCTGAGTCAGCTCCCCTGGTTCAGACCTTGGGACTGAATTATACCCCTGGCTCTCCTGGGCCTCCAGTGAGTAGATGACAGATCTTAGACTTCTCAGCCTCCATAATCACAGGATTCAATTCCTCATAATGAATCTCTCTCTGTATCTGTCAGTATCTTCTTGGTTTTGTTTCTCCAGAGAACCCTGACCAACACACAGTGATCGTCTGTGAAAACAGGACCCCCAGCCCGCACCTTCTGCCTCCTCTTCCGGCAAGGTCTGTTCCCATCTTTGCTTCCTTTCCTTCCCCAACAGGACCTGGCCTCTGGTGGCCCCTCGCAGGCCCCCTCCCCCCCCACCTCCCACTGTGTGAAGCATGTTGACAAAATGACAAAAACATTCTCAAGGAAACAAGCTGCCCCGCTCACAGAGGCCACCGTAGTGTCAGAGAAAGCAGGGTTTGGAGTTATTCATTCTACTTCCATGGAATGAGTCCAAACCTGCTCTGGGCTGGTTCCCCCTTCCTGTTTTTGAATCCAGACACTTGCCGTCACTGTACGGTCCCCGCAGCGGTGCACAATGTATATGGCCTGGTCACCCTTGGTTTTTATTTCAAGAGTGGGCTGTTTCTCTTCTGCCTTCAACCAGCCCTCGTCGGGGGGAGAGAATGTGGTATCTGCAGTCTGAAGGGCTGCTAAGGCCTCGCCCGTCATTCACGACCCCGAGGCCAAGCGACAAACACCCCCTGGAAACATGCCAGGCCTCAGACTTCGCCTTTGTTCAGGGGGTTTCCCGGCCTCTCCTCTCCTCAGAGGTCAGCCCTCTTCAAGCATGCTCCCAATCTTGCCCCACCCCCACCCCCATGGATAGAACCATTGTCCTCTCCTGTAACAGCAAAGATTCATTATGCCTATTGAGAACTATACAAAAGAGTACCTACAGTACATTTCCTATGTATAGTTAAGAATTCTTTAGGCTTGGGACTCTGGCTGAGCTGTGGTTGTGTATTATTCATTATATGTTGTGAAGAAGTGCCTTTTCTCCATTGTGCGTGTGTTATGGGTACTGTCGCCAGGACAATAGCCCCACTTAGGCGGTACTCTCCTTAGACTCTCCAGTCCATCCTACTGGTTGATCTTGGGTGATGACCAGTGTCACAGCACCATGCCCCTGTTCAGAAGGCCACCATGGCTCCCAACTGTGGTGACTGCTTTATATATGACCCATCTCCCCTCAACCAGGCAATGCCATCACTCCTGAGATTCAGGTGTTCACTCCATCAAGCAAGGCTCTGCTCCCAAAGTTGCTGCAGGCCTCGCCCGGTTTTGTCAATCAGTGCACATCTTCCCCTCCCCTAAAGTCCCACCTGGAAGTTTCGGTCAAGTTCTCTGCATGCCATGACCAGTCTCTCCTCTTAGGAACCACTTTTAGACTTAGACTTAACATGATGTGGGTTGGTATGCAATTGGCATCCAACTGAGGGCGTTACTTTAGCTCAGTGGCTTTCAACACCAGCTGGGAATCAGACGGGGAGCTTTTTTTAAAAAAAAAAAAATGGAAACATTTTTGAATACAGAAAGTTGTCTGGGCCTCAGGCCAAACCAAAGGTTCTGAATCTCTGAAGGTTAAGTCTGGGTATCAGTACTTTCTTTTGTTTGTTAATCCTCACCAGAGGGTATTTTTCCATTGATTTTTAGAGAGTGGAAAGGAGAGAAGGAGAGAGAGAGGAGAGACATGGATGTGAGAGAGACACATCAATTGGTTGCCTCCTGCATGACTCTGACTAGGGCTGGGGATTGAACCTGCAACCCAGGTACATGCCCTTGACCAGGAATTGAACCTACAACCCTTTGGTCCACGGACACTAACCTTTCAGCCAAACTGGCCAGGCCTGGGTGTCAATACTTTCAAACGCTTTCCAGGAGTTATGGGCTGAACTGTGTCCTTGTCCCCTTACACTCCATTCTGCCACATTTATACATTGAAATCCTAGTCTCCAGTCCTGGTGCCTCAGAATGTGACTGTATTTGTACATAGAACCTTTAAAGAGGTGATTAAGTTAAATGAGGTAATTTATTAAGGTGGGCCCTTATCCAATATGCCTGTACCTGGATAAGAAGGGAGAACAGGATACAGACACACAGAGAGGGGAGACCATGTGAGGACACAGGGAGAAGATGGCCATCTACAAGCCAAGGAGGGCGACCTCAGGGAAACCAACCTACCGACACCCATCTTGGCCTTACAGCCTCCAGAACTATAAGAAAATATGTCTGTTGTTGGAACCACCAGTCTGCGGTATTTTTCATGGCAGCCCTAGCAGATTAACAAACCAGGTGATTCTACTGCACGTCCATGGAGCAACTCTTCTTCTAGCCACCCAGATCACCCCAACCCACCCTCCAGCTGGATCGTAATCTCCCTGAGGATGGGGATGGAGCTGTACCTGTGATTCACTCTGTCTACAGCTGGCTATTGACCCATTGGAAACTAAAGGCTTGTTACGCCATAGGACATGGCCTCCATGCTCTCTTCATGGTCCTGTACTCCTCATGCCCCCATCATACTAGGAGATGCTTTGGACTTTATCCCCCCAATGTTTTTACACTTATCATCTTGGCTAATTTTACATCATAAACAACTTACATCATTTTCTGTTAAAGGCCTTTTTGTGTTCCAGGAATCCTAACCTTGGTTGGCACACTTGATAGTTTCACTTATTTTAGGTAAAGACCTGACCCTTACAACCCTCTTTATGTGGCACGTTTGGTCCACTGGTTTGGCCCACACTCTATGTCCACCATCGATTTGCCATCTGATAGAATATTAAATCTTATTTGGTGATACCCCTGGCCTCACTTAGCTTCCATCTCTCTGGGGTCCTTGAAATCTCTTCCCACTGTGCTTTTGGGGGAGAACCTTGCCAAAGTCTCACCCACCTCCACACGCCCTGTACGCCTTACAGCCATCATGCCTAGGAGAGGTCCTCTTTCCAAAAACTGGACGCTCTTGCAAACCACTGGATTTGGGGTTTGGAACTAAACTGGGAGGTCATTTTATTTATGGGAAACTGACACAGAGGTGGAAAGTGATTGGCCCATGGTCATAGAGCTAGGCAGTGACCAGGCCCGCACTGGAGGCTATCTGCAATGCAGAGATCTTTTCTCTAACCCACACTGCTACCCTGCAGATAGGGATTTCCTCCCCTGGGAAACAGTGTGGACATAAAGCAAAAGCAAAACCCTCTGTTCTCCAGAATTTGCCTTGAAGTTTTCTTCCCATCTGTCCTCCCCTCCCCCTTTATTGATTTTAGAGAGGAAGTGAGAGAGAGAGAGAAATAGAAACATCAATGAAAGAGAACATTGATTGGCCGCCTCCTGCATACCCCCCCACCCCCCGCTGGGGATTGGGCCCACTACCTGGGCATGTGTTCTGATCAGGAATCAAACCAGCAACCTCTTGGTACATGGGTCAACACTCAACTACTGAGCCACACTGGTCAAACCCTGTCTGTCCTTTATAGATCTCAAACTTTATCACTTTCTCCACCCAAATGCTGGTGATGGCCCAGAATGGTCATCACTGACATGCCTCATGTCCCACCTCTGCTGTGGTCACTTCCAGCTCCCCATGCAGATAGCAATGCCATGTAAGTTCTGCCGGGTAATGTGGCAGAAGTCGCTAGATGAAAGTGCCAGGTCAACTTTCCAAGGGACTAACTTAGTAAGTGTCTCTGCTTTTCCTCTTTCTTCCCACCTGGAGTAAGATGGATGGAAAGAGAAGGGCACAGAGCTGGAGGAAAGCAAGACAGGGCTCTGGTTCCCAGCTCTCCACACTCTACTCCCAGCTTGGGGTCAAGTGAAGGAGTACCAGGGGTGAGTGAGAAATATCTAGGTAAGGTGAGAGACATTCCAACAACAAAGGGCTTTCGTCCAACCAAGACTCATGACTGAGCTCTAAAGGAGATCTTTTGGACTCCTCTCACACCATTCCCACTCAGAACAGGGCCTCACAAGGTATGTTTGGAGCAATCCATTGGAGGAGGTTCCAATGTTCAGCTTTCCTGAGCCACTTGGGTGCCATGGGATGTGTACAGGACCATGAAGAAGCTCAGGGGATGGCTGTGAAGATGTTGTGGTCCTGGTGAACACAGAGACTGAGGAGGCAGATCATTACTATCAGTCTTAATGAATCTCAGTCAAACTGCAGGGCCCATAGCAACCATCTTGTGATGATGAGGAAACTTCAGGAAAATTAGCGATAAGGCTAACAGGGCAGAAATATGGAAGGTGCCAAAGCATTGATGGCATCATGGAGCATCTTACCAGCTCAGAGTGTCTATCTCCAGACTTCTTTCATGTGAGAGACAAATAAACTTCTACCTGGTTTAAGTGATTTGGGGAGGAGAGTCTCTGACTTGTAGCTAAGGCAATTTCTGATACAACAGTCATCTTAGAATCACTCCAGTTGTTTAAAAGTTGTTTTCTAAGTTGAGCTGAGATCAACCTTGGTATCCTAGGAAAGCCCTGACCATTCTTAACTCCCAGTTCTGCCCACTAGGGTCACCCCAAAGAAATCGAATCCCTTTCTTCTCTGCATTGACTTTTTCATCTTGATGTCTCTACTCCATCTCTTTCACTTGCAAATGTATGTTTGTTGGACCACACTCCCCTTGGCTGCTCAGGCCTATGGGCAGCCCAAGGGTGTGCATCCTGTCTGTGCATTTCACAGAGCCTCTCAGCTACCTCCAGCCCATGACAATTGTTAGGTTCCTACTTCCCTTAGCTGTTTATATGTTCCATCCAGTCACTAGCCCATAGCTGGGCAAAAGCAAACTTTCTGCCCCTGAGTTATCCTGCTCCCATTTTATTTTTATCTTATTCTTTGCTGACTGTACTCCTCACCTTATTCTTACCACTGCATGGTCTCCTAAGCATCATTTATTTATTCAGCAGCAGGGACAGAAGTAGAAACACCAGAAAGGAGCTCAGACATCCCATTTTGCACATTCCCATTGCATTTTAAGCCCTGTAAATCCAGGCCATATCTTTAGCCTACTTCCCTTGCTGATAAGCTATCTAGAGAATATGTGTGTGTGTGTGTGTGTGTGTGTGTGTGTGTGTGTACACAGTTTCCAAGGATTTTAGTTCCTGTGTCAATCTCAGGGTTCTTCCAGTCCTAAGTCTCTTTTCCTGAGTTGTAATGGATGTGTCCTTCCTTTGTCACCAGAAAAAAAATGGAACAATCTTTAGAAAACTTTTTCCAGTAGCTATAGGT